GGAAAGATTGTTGTTATTACTTAACGCTATTTTTAGACTCAAGAAGGATACTCCACCACCTCGTCCCCCTCCAGCAGAAGAAGAGGATACCTTCACACGAAATGCAGTGGTTCCATTGCCAGTACTAGAGCAGCACGGGAGGCTCACTAGGATCGGGGAAACTCACTGCAGCTGCTGTCACCCTGAACGAGAAACATCACTTTATCTTGGTATGTACATATACATACATACACATTATGTACATGGACATTAATATTTTTTCGTTTATTTTCTAGCTTCATTGGTTGCCAAACAATCTAACAGTTGGAGGACATTAAGGATGGCTGTAAGGCCACAAACAATTAATCCTTTCCTTTCTCTTGAGGAGAAAGAAGAGCAGTTGAATAGAACTAATGTTGGCAAGTTGTCCTTGATATCAAACACAAGATTATTTGTGATAGAACACTCTTATCCACATTCAAATATGAATTAATTTACCATTATAATAATAATAAAAATTGCATTACAACAACAAAAAAAGACAAAAATTATTATAATAAAGAATCTTTTTCTCGTCTACCAAATAATTATACTGTTCACTGTAAACTCATGACAAAGATTTAAAAAAGAAAATTGCTCTATTTATAATAATTATTATGATTGTGAGTGTGTACAATAGGTTAGGCTGGGTCTCTAAGCTGAGCCAATCTATAGGAGAGAGAGGAAGAGAGATGATAATTCTAATAAACTAGATTAATATAAGTCTAAGCAAGAGTAGATACTCTTGGTCTAATAAGTAAGCACTATACGTGTACATGTCTATAGATAGAGTAGATCTTGATGTCAATACTCATGCATGTATTGTGTAGAGCAGCATTGAAGGACACTTAAAAAGTTAAGCTAATACAAGAGAGAGAGAGAGAGGTTTTTAATGGAGACATGCCTTCTCGATAGTTTGTCCTCCTCTTCGTTGGTGAGTGTGCTAACAGTATCAGTTCCTGGGGTAGCAGTTGCTAGCTTGTCCAACACCTCAAGCCCATTCTCCTCCGCTACCTGTTTCATTAGTCCCTCCACTTGATCCTCTGGAGTGCTCAGTGTCATTGCTGAGGCCATTGTGGAATCCATTACCTTTTAGGGAAGCAATAATAATTAAGTGTGTGGGCGGGTATACCTCTGTGTGGGTGTCAAGGTCGGAGAAGAGGGATTCGAATTTGTCCATTGTTGATGAGATCTGATAGAAAGAGAGAGAGAGAGAGAGGAGGGGAAGATTAAGTGTTGATCATTGTGTCTCAAAATACCTTTTCCAAGTCCATTGTTGCTAATACAGAGTCTAATCCTTTTACCACACTCCCCATCTGCTTTGAAAGCTAAGAGGAAAAAAAGAGAAATGTTAATGATAGAGGATTTCCTACTAAGCATGATTCATCAGCTGACAAGCACTACGAAGACATGTACATGGCTTTTGGAGCAACTTTAAAATTCAATACAAAATTCAATTTTGATCGGAATCAGCTCAAACTTTCCACACAATATACAAATGTGTATATGTATCAAAAAAATATAAAAATGTAAAATTCTCTCCTAGTCATTTTTGGGAAAATTTGGCCAATGACCCTGTACTATAGTACAGGGACTTTGGCCCAATTTTTGAGTAACTTTTAAAATTCATAAAAAATCCAATTTTGATCGGAATCAGCTCAAGCTTTCTACATAATATACAAATGTGTATATGTATCAAAAAAATATAAAAATGTAAAATTCTCTCCTAGTCATTTTTGG